TAATATTTTTCTAATAAGACAATTAGGACCAAAATAATTTTTGCCGTTATCTATGGGGAATTTCTAATGAGGAACATGTCATGTGCGACATTATGATATGATTAGACAAAATATAGTTTTTTTTTTTTTATTTTACCTATNTTTTTTTTTTTCATCACAGGAAAAATTCTATTCTTTCAAAGGATACGTGGATAAGGTCATGAATAAAGCATCTTTGTGGTATGAATCGTGTAAAAATTGTGCCGCTGCAAATTGAGAAGAACGACGACAACAAGTCATGCAAAAAGTGCAACAACAAATTAGTGGAACCGACTCCAAGGTATTAAACATCACAAAAAGATCACGTCTAATATTGTATGTATACAAAAAGATTTACAAAAAAAGTACACAATCATCGCAGATATAGGTTGGTCTTAAACGTCGTGGGAGATAACTAAAATTCGACTATAACTTTATTTGAGGATGCGGCAATGGTGTACATTGGATGTCCTATTAATTATTATCTCAGATCAATTGAGCAGTTCATATATATTCTTATTTTCAAATTCACATGAATCATCAAGTATAATATTTATTAAAGACTTATTTTTCAATGTTCATTAGGGGGAAGAATTATCTGGATATTATAGAGGGTTGAGCTTACTGTCCACAACTGAATTTTAATTCCTAATTTCAGTCATGAATGACAAGTCGTTTAACTAAAGAGGAGAATTCAATGCGGTGGCAGAGGCAATTGCAATGTTGCAAACTACACATGATACGAAATGAATGATAACTAAACAATTTCTCTAGACAACCCTAATGATCTTCATGTGGATGAAGACAAATAGTTCAAAAATGACCAAGAGCAGAAAGAAGCGATCTATCAACAAAGTAATAGAAGATGAATATGATTGCGTTATTGAAGTTGAAGATCATGACAATTAGTAGTCTTAAGAAGAAATGTGCAAGAAAAAAGTACAAAAGCAAAAGGAAGGAAACAATCTCCAATCGCCAACATAAAGAAGGAGAAGAACTAAAGGAACAGTAATTCGTATTAGTTTTTTATTTAGTTAATTCTCTATTTTATAGACAATTTATTTTTGCATAGTAAGTTATTTGACTTTTATTTTAATTTGAAAACTATTCTCTTTCGAATATTTATGCATTGGTAATTTAATATATTATTTTAATATCTTCAAATTCCAACTAAATATAATTCAGTACAAAATGACAAGAAGAAAATATAAAAGGTATTGCAAATGATATTGTGCACAACTATGCAATTCGAAACAACAACACGAACTAAATTATCCAAAAGAAAAAAATCACAAAGCAGACCAATTTTTCTCACGTGCATCGCACGTGCACGTTACTAGTTCCCTAAAATGTGATTAATACATCTGGATGCAAGCTATTTCAACCTTCACAATCAATAATTTCAAAGAGAGGATGCCATCAATAACAAGAAAACTTTCAAAACCTATCTCATAATATTGTCATATCAATGACTTACAATTTCTGTGCGACTACGATAGTTGACAAGCAACATCCAAAGTTCAGTCATAGCATGTAATTTTTTTCATGGAGGTACACATCGTTCAACATTTCTTTGCTTGTGAAACCTTGTTTCTTTTTTTAATTTTTCTACCTCTGCTAGCATAATCATGCTTACTCTTTTATACCTCTCGGACATCAAAGCTTAGCTTTAGCTATTAAGGCACCTAATTTTTTTTATGAAGTAGATGCTTCAGCATATGAAGGTGTTCACTTCTTTTTACTTCCCACAACATAGCATTTGATCTCAACACTAAAATGCACACTATAGAATTCAGAACGTACAGAAAGTACAACTAGACAATATAAGCACAAGGTCCATGTAGCCATGTACAATAATCTACAGTTTGCAACTTAAATTTCCAAAATTCTCTTCAAATATTCCCAGTAATATGCTATGTTTCCTAGCATGGGAGTGTACTTCTGTAAGCACTTTTACTTGAAGTAGTCAATGTGATTGACCATAACTCTTAGTCGACGCATTAAGGGGAAAACTCATAAAAGCTCAATCGCATAATATCTGAATT